GGAGGGCCCAGACCTACTTGCTAGAAAACAGGACCCTCGGCCAGTCTTTCTCTCTGTTCCTATAAGTAGAGCCCCTGTAGCCAGGCAGGGGCACTGTCCTAGGAGCTGCTTCAGCTGGACAGAAAAGGTCCACTGTGACTGGGAATGGTGGTATACACCCGTAGTCCTAACACCCTGGGAGGCTGAGTTGGGAGGGTCGCAAGTTAGTCCAGCCTAGGCGACCAACAGTGCTTAGCAAGACATGTATCACAACTTAAAGTAAAACCTCAAAATGGCTGGGGTTGTAGCTCATTGTGAAGGCCCTGGGTTTGTTCTGTACCCAGGAGCCGGGTCAGCCTGACCCAAACAGGCCCTACACTTTTTATTTAAATTGTAGTTTTGAAAAAAATATTCAGCTAATGGACGTGTGTTTTTAAAAGATTAGAAAATGTGGACAAGTAGGAGAGACATCCTGTATCCTGTTGCCCAGGAGTACTAGTTCGCCTCTGGTTACATGTGTCCACACGAAAAAGTAACACATGCGTGTTCCCAGCGAGTAGGGTGGAGCCCTGCAGTGGGGCCAAGGTCGCTCTGTGTGCTCAGGGCCTGTGCGGTGCCTACTCATGGTGGCAGGTGTGGCTGGCTGTATAGACGGCCCTAGTGGTTCAGGGCCTTGCTCCAGAAGGCTTTGCAGCTGCCAGAGTTGCCAGCCCTCACGTGGGAGGGGCTGCCAGGAAGGTGCTGTGCCTTCCAGGGTCCTGCCCGCCCTGGCCTTCTGCACCCGGCGCCTATCTGGGAGGCCCAGGCATGCCCCAGAGGCAGGCCGTGTCCCCACTCTCCGGCTCCTCCTCCTTTCCGTCCCTCTGTCCTGGCCTCCGCGGGTCTGGTCACTGTGGCAGGTTGTCCCCAGAACAGCTCTTCAGCTTTCTTTAGTCCCTGCATTTCTCTGAGGGATAGGGACTTTTAAGTGGTTATGGGGATGGATCCCAAGTTTCTCGAGTAGGCAGTGTGTCTGTCATCTCTGGGCAGAGTCCCAGGAAGCCTTGCACCTGTGAGCACTGTGTACAGCACTGCTGGGGTTGGGGGCTCCCACAGAACGATTCTGAGCTCCACCCCATTGCTGTGTGCTGGGTGATGGGTCAGACTTTCATTCTGTGTGCTCAGCAGTTTGTGGCCCCATCTATTCCTGAGGAATATTTTAAATTAAATTCAGTTCTTTTTGCAACCAGGGCTACAATTGCAGCTGCAGTCCACAGAGGCCAAAGACGTTCTCCCCCGGGTCTTGTGGCCACCTCTGAGGGGAACCAGGTGTGTCATGGTGACGTCCCCTTCCCTTGGACATTCATCCTGTCCCTGCCATGTCCAGGTATCATAACAAACAGGATGTTGTCCTCCTGCTTTGAGCGATCTGCTCAGTGAGTCGGATTTCTTGTTAAACCTGCTTGGTAAATGACTTGACATTTTCCATGGATGAAAATTTATTCAGTAACAAACTAATTCAGCAACAACTGCTGCTCAGTGGCCACTGCTATGAGAATTAGTGCCACCATACGAAATAGGTGAACAGTAGTGGTGACAGGGACACTCACGTGGCGCCTTTGTATGCTGAGCATGCCCAACAAATGGAGAGGGCCGGGTTCTGGCCCCATTGTGTGGGCGTGAGACCTTCCCAGGTACCTGCGGTTGATGTCACTCAGCACTCACTGTCCCTTGGGGGTCACTCGCTTGTCCGCTGTGTGCACTGACCACCACTTAGGGCCACATGCCCAACTTGAGGGGACGTGGAGATACAGGGCCCGGCGGACTGCAGGATGTGAGGGAGAACGCAGAAGATACATCTGCTTGTGGGGCCTGGGTGTGGCGCGGGGCTTGTGCTCAGGCCTCTGGTGCTGCACCCTGGAGTCTTCCCATCCGCCTCGTGGTGCCCAGCTCAGGGCTGCATGCTGGCCAAGCAGGCAGAACTCTGGCCTGAGAAGGTCCCTGTGACTGCCTGCCTGAGGTCTAAGGGCCAGGGACAGGGAAGGGACTGTTTTATCTTTGTGGGAAGGCAGAGGGGTTGACACACTGCGCAGACGGCTCTGTGACTAACTTAACTGGAAACATAAAGCTGTTTTGCAGGAAGTAGCCAGGGCTATAAACATTATTTGCTCTTTAACATTCCAGTCTCAGCCTTTGGAGCCTTCTCGGACTCCCCAGGGCAGGATGGAGCAACAGGACGATGTCTGTCAAGGAGAGTCCAGTGGGACGTCACCCTGCGGCCACCCACCCGGGGCTTTGAGCCACTTGTGCCCACGCGAGGTGTGTGGGCCTGAACTCCAATAGTCTGGGCGGCCACCCCGTCCTCACACAGCCCCACAGCAGGGGCTACTGGTACAAAGAAGAGCACTGTGCAGTGTGCTCCCCAGTGTGGCTGCGGTGTCCGGCGTGCCAGCACCAGGGCCCCTCGGTGGGTACACACCTCCCACCTCACTGCTGTAGGGCTTTGCCGAGGTGTCCCGTTGCCTGGAGTAAGGAGGAACACTCACCGAGATGTGTTGTGTCATCAGGGTCTTGAGCAAAATCACCATTTCGTGTTGGGCACCCTGGCACGACCTGCCACCAAGGCAGGCAGAGCACTGGCTGTGGGAGTCACAGCCAGAGGGCCAGTGACGTCCAGCTCCCTAAGTGGGCTCCCCAGAGGCTCCACCCATCTCAGCCCCATGCACGCCATCATGCACAGTTGTCCCAGGAAGCCACAGCCCTGCTGTGGCAGCGAGTGGTGGCTTTGTGAGTTATGGCCGCTACCTGCGAGAGGCGGATAACGCAGGGAGCTCGGGGCTAATAAATGTGCTGTTTCCCAGAGAGGAGACGCCGTGCCCAGCGCGTAAATAAGACAAGCGTTTTTAAAAAAGAAATCCGTATTTAAGGGCATGTTTGTCTGTGTTCTTTGTCTGCTGTAAAGGTCACCCAGATAGATTTTTCCTTCTTTAGCATTGCAGGCCGTGAAGAACTGGGCATTTCTATTCTCCCTCCATCCAGTGAACCCGAGGGACTAAATTAGATTCTGAAATTGAGTGTGCAGTGAAGTCTCGGAGTTACCCTAATGGGAGGGTTTTGCTTCTCACCTTGCGAGGAGTGAGGTCATGATAATATGAAGCGAAGTGGATTAAAAATAAAACCAAAGGTATTTATTTATGACCTGCTCAGAATTGGATTGGCATCCGTGTAAGTTGCATCTAATGGTGAGAGACAGCAGACTGATGTTGATGTGTCCCCGAGGACATATTGCCAGTGGAGTTTGCGCCGTGAATTCAATTTAAAGGCCCACAGAAAGTGTCCAAAATGCAAAGGAAATGGAATTGAGGAAGGGGCGGGGGAGCCCAGCAATGGCAAAGAGATGGTTACAGAGTCCTAGCATGTATCTCGTGCTCGGAGGCTGCAGCTTTGGGAGGCCCAGGTTCCACGTCAGTCCAGTGGGTGTGGTGTTGAGGTGGAAACTCTGCTCGGCCATCGTCCAAGCTCGTGTCCTGATGCCACAGCCCCATCTCTGTCCACCCATGATGAGGGAGTGCATCCCCAGTGCACGGGGATAGGGCACAGCAGCCTGGAGACCCTGTGCCATTACCAGGGCCACAGAGGGAGAGCAGGATGTGCCCTGCAGAGCTAGATCACTCTGTGGCCACTTGTGCCAGAGGAGGGAACAGGAAGCCAGGAGCTCCGTGGGCTGAGGGCTGGGTCTTATTGGGCAGCACCTTTTTAAGGCAGGCAGCCTGAGCCAGTGGCTGGCAGCTGAGGAGGGGCAGCCCTAGTACCAGCTGGAGGGAGAAGCCGTGGGCAGCCTACCAGTGGTGCAGGACAGAATCTTGGGACCAGTGTCCCACAGAGCCAGCAGAGCAGTGTGGGCTCCTCACCAGGGAGTTGGCCTGGGCTCCTTCTTCTGAGATCCCATTGAGGAAGCTGTCCTGTCCATGCAGCCGGCCATCATGGCCAGCCCCACTCCTGCCCAAGTCTCCTAGGTGTTATGATCTTCTGAAATCCACCTGCCCTGGGTGAGGTCGAGGGCTGCTGCAGTGGGTGTGGGGCTGCCTGTGTCTCCCCACATTGGGTCCCCCCTGGCACTGCCATTCCACATGAGCAGGTCACCGTCCTACCAGTGTTGGTCTTTGGCTTCTCAGTCTGAGTGCTGCAGGCATTCCCTGTGTGCACGATGGGATGTGGCACAGTATCCCCTCGGCCCCTGATGAGGTGGCCCAGCTGCAAACCTGGGGTGCTGGAAGAGGCAAGGGATTCCAGCATGGGAGCCCAAAGCAGAGCTCTTCCCTGGAAGCCGGGAGACCTGAGTAAGCGGCAGTGATGGGCACGGTCCAGTGCACACTCAGGGTCCAGTGTGCACCTAGAGTGTGTCCAGTGTGTACCGGCACCCAGGTGTGTCTAGTACGTCCAGCGAGTGCCTATTCTGTGCCTTCTCAGAGCTGCGTGAGCTGTGTGGTCTGGTGTCCTTTTTGCCCAGCTTCTGTGGCAGTGTGGCCATGCTGTCTTCATTTACAGAGGAGGTAGCTGGGCTTAGAGGTGACATCCTTCCTCCCAGGCATTTGGCTAGACCTTGACATGAAGCTGGGTGTGTCAGTGCCCAGCACACGGGGCAGCTGTGGCAGAATCTTTGCTGTCCTCCTGGGAACCCTGGGTGGACCCAAACTGACTCTGTCCTGAGGTCCCTGGTGCCTGCACCTCAGCTTCTAGCCATGCTGGGTTCGAGGAAGTTGCCTCACGCAGGGAATTATGCCCCTGGGGAGCTTTGGGGCAGGTGGAGGTCACTCTCTGCTCCCTGATCTGAGAGGCTTGGGCAGGAGGGTCCAGCCCCAATGCCTGGGCACCCTTCTATGCCCAGAGGGTGCTGCTATCTGCCTCCCTGGAGTGTGGTTCAGATTTAGGGGAGCTGGTTGCAGGTGTGGAGTGCTAGTCCATGCCGCCCAGCATCCCTGCACAAGTTACATGCAGCCTGCTGCCCTGCTGGCCCTCCTGACTGCTGTCTCTCTTTCTAGGAGCTGCTCCTCTTCCTCCAGAACCTGCCCACTGCCTGCTGGGGTGACGAGGACATCAGCCTGCTGCTGGCTGAGGCCTATCGCCTCAAGTTTGCCTTCGCGGATGCCCCCAATCACTACAAGAAGTGAGCTGGGGCCTTGCTGTTGTGACATCACCCTCCCCACCGGCCAGCTGCAGAACTGTCTGAGCTGGTCCCAGCCATGCACCACCTTGTGGCTGCCCCACCCTGCAGCCACTTGCCAGGGTGAGCCTGGCGTGGTCCAGGGCTGGTGGGAATGGAGGGGCCTCCGTTTTCTGAGATACCAAAGAGAGCCAGGGGCAGATCCCGGTTTTGGGGGCCAGATATGGGTCAGGAGGCCCCCACCCTGTCCCTGCAGTATCCTTGCCAAATGCCCACCCTAGACCCCTGGGCTGAGGCAGCCAAGAGGTAGCCCCCACCCCCCACCCAGTGGCCTGTTGTCCAGGTGCCAGGTAGTGTGACAGTGGCCACCTGAGACCTACTCAAGAAAGCAGACTCCTCTGTTTAGTGAAAGAATAAAGTGCAGACTAAACGCTGGGAGATGCTGTGCAGTAAGTGGGGGTCTCTGCGCAGAGCCTCGGGCAGCCAGCAGGGTCTGGGCCAGGGCCCTGCATGCAGAGCTGATTTCTTTCTTGGCCAGAACTCTACTGGAAGCTGACCTTGGATGCATCTGGGAAGCTGGGGACAGGAGGCCGGTGGCAGAGTGAGGCCACTCACAATTGCCTTACCTTCTATTTCGCTCCTTTAAAAGAGAGCTCCCGGACCACTGCCTGCCCTTAGTGGTCCCAGTCACATAACCCTCCATGGGTCAGAGCTATTCTTAATGGGGCCGGGGTTGTGCCATGGACACAGAGTGACCCAGTTGAACTCTTCCTGCCACTGCCCATGGTGCCAGGTCCCCAGAGCTCTGCACAGATGGATGTCCTGTCCAGTCTCCCCCACCCACGTCCTCCCAGGGTGTCATGGCTGTGTGAGCCTCAGTGACATAGGTACTGCTGCGCCATAAGGGAGCTGTCAGACACAGGCTTTGTGGCCCTTGGCCAGGCAGCCTCCTGTCCTCAGCAGCCTGCTTTGACAGCTGTGAGACTCCATCCCTCCTTGAGAAGCAGCTCTGTCCCTGCCCAGGCACCAGGAGACTTCCCAGAGGCCAGGGACCACAGATACGTGCAATGTGTGTGTTCTTGCTTCCATTAAAGTGGTCTCTGGTCATTACACATGGCAGGAAGTTGGCACAGCATTCTGTGCAAATGTCCTGTGCTCCAGGAGATCACACCCCACCCCGTTCAGGGTTCCTTCCAGAGTAACTCCAGGTATACGGAAGCCGCTCGCCCCATCTTCCTAGGATCAACCCTGGAAACCGCTCTGCTAGGATGTGCACATCTCTGTACTACTGGAGGTTGGAGATACAGCAGGCCTGCTTCTAGTGGTAGTTTATTTCAGGGAAAGGCCTCACGAGCTTAAATTAAGCCTGGTGTGTATTTCATGTGTGCATATGCCAGATTGGGCATGAGGGACCCTGGCGATATGAGCAGGTGACTGGGGTATGTGTGAAAAGATGAAATAAACATGCAACGACACAGTCTGTGCCTTAGCCTGAGATTGGAGAATGTCATGCAGTGCCCTCCCAACCCTGTATCAACTGCTGACTATGGTCTTGGTGACATCCTGGGACCTGGGGGTGGTGGGAAAATGCATCTGTGCAGGTGGCATGGAAAGCCACTTGCGCAGTGTTGAGGCAGGACTCGATCTCCCAAAGCCCAGGCTGCACTGCTGGAGTCGGGAGCCGGTGCAGTGAGCACTGGGGACCTGCCAGCCCCCTTGGTTTCCTCTGCCTTTCTCTGAACAAGGGGCGTCACCCCTTACCACATCTCTCAGCATCTGCATCCTAAAAGGCCTTTGCTGGGGAGGCCCCAGGGCTCGGGATGCCCTCACCCCAAGGTTCAGGACATGCTCACCCCACCTGTATCCCCAGGTACCCTCAACACATAGCCTGACAGCCCTCCGCCCACCCTGCATCACTGAAACAGCCTTACCCAGTCCCCGGCTCAGGGAGCTTTGGTGGCACTCACACCTCTCTCGTGCCCCGTGCCTGCACCCACGCACTTGGGACCTTTCCATGGCAGCCCTGGCTTTCCCAGCCTGGTGTGGTCCTGTCCCAGTGGGTGGGCTGGTGACCCCCCATGTGGAACCTGCTCACTCTCCTTTCCCCCGTGCCTGAGTGGGGAGCTGAGCCGGGGAGAGCAGTACGAGCCGACCTCACTGATGCACACTGGAGTTTGAACGGTGGGGATTAGCAGTCCCTCCCTGCAGCCACCAGGGGTGAGACTAGGCTGTCACTTGCCATTGTGGTCTGCTGCTTGAGCCCAGCTTGAGGACCTCACTCTGTGCAGAGGTGCCTCCACCCCAGGGGCCCAGAGATGGACACCTCACCGCCTCTATCAGTCAGTGCTCACTAGAGGAACAGATTTAATATAAGACTATATATAAGGATTTACACGATGAGCTTACACTGGCTGCCCGCAGTTGGCTGTGGAAGGGTTCAGAAGGGCTGTCCTTGTGCTGGAGATCGGAAGGATCTAGTCAAAGATCGGAGGCCTGGAGCTCGCTGTAATGTCCTATGCGAATCCATATCAGGAGGCTGGATGGTCTGTGCTAAAGGCTGAAGGTCTGCCCTGGAAGCCAGGAGATGACATCCAAGGTGAAGGTGAAGACTGGAGCGCCTCCAAGGAAATGGAAGCAGCCTTCTTTGTTCCCCTTTTATTCCATTCGGGCTACAAGCTTATTGGTGCCACTCACACCCAGGGTGGGTCTTCTCTTTTCAATAAATCCCTTCATCCACTCCCAGAACTATGCTAATTCAGTTATTGGGGCATTTTTTCCTTGGGTTGACACAGTTAACTATCACACCACCAGAGTTAGGGAAGAGACCCAGCTTGTTGGGGCTGCTGCATGTGAAGGGTCAGGGGTGACGTGGGTTGAGGAGTCTGGGGGCACCTGAGAGGTTGAGTTTAGAAATCACTCCTGGGTGGGAGGGCTGTGTGTAGTGTGAACGGTGATCAGAGCAGACTGGCTGCATTTAAGACATGGGGACGAGTCTGTCTCAAGCTATACCCAGCCTAAACCTCCTGATACCACTCACCCTAAGCTGGCCACTTTGTACCAGCCTAGTGGCCCCCGCTGAGCTGTTCTCAGAGCATCCGTTCAAAGAGTTTACTGAGACAACTTGAGGTGTGGGATCTCCCCACATCCTCTAACTCCTGTGCACCTGCAGCCCTAGACTCCTCAGTGTAGCCCTTAGTCCCAGGAGGTCATGTGCTGCCCAGGTCTAACCTATTCAGCTTGAAGGCCTTTTTTAGGCTTACACTGCAACCCCCTGAAGGTCCTCAGCCAGGGACAGCTGCATAAGAGCACAAAGTCACTACATAACTGGTGAACAATCCAACAGGAAAATACAGTAATTATGAACATATATTCACTAGACAGTAGCACACCCAACTTCATAAAAGAAGTACTAGTGGACATAAAATAAAAGCCCAGTTAAACATAAACAGTTATAGTGGGGAGCCTCAATACCCCTCTATCACAAGTAGATGAACTACACAAAAAAATTTAAAAAATACCTGAGTTGAACAAAACCTTTGAACAAACCGACTTAATAGATGTAGACAGATCAACCAGACAAAAAATGAACAAAGAAATATCAGAGTTGAACAAAGCCTTTAAACAAATTAATTTAATAGATCCTTACAGAATGTTTCACCCAACAACAGAATAGGCACTCTTCTGAGCAGCACATCGAACAGATCATACTAGCCGAAAAAGCTTAAGTAAATGTAAAAGATTTGAAATCACATACTACATGTTATCAGGTCACAGTGCAATGAAACTAGAAATCAACAACAGAAAACACAAATTGTGCAAGTGCATGGGAACTAAATACACCTAACTAAGCGATGGGTTACTGAAGAAATCAAGGATGAAACAACATAGTTAAAGAACTAAATGAAAATGCTAGCACAACATACCAGAAGTTACGGGACAGTGAAAGCAGTTCTAATGGGGAGTTTATAGCTATAAATACCCACATCATAAACGGAGAGCAAGCCCAAATAAATAAGCTAATGATGCAAGTCAAGGTCCTAGCAAAACAAGAACAATCCAAGCCCAAAGCTAGTACAAGGAAGAAAATGACACAGAATGATCAGAGCAGAAATCAGTGAACTTGAGAAAAAAAACAATGAACTGGAAATAGGCAAGCCCTTGGCCAATCTAATCCTCCCCGCAAAAGGAGAGAAAAGACCCAAATCAATGCAGTTAGAAATGAAAAAGAAGAAATCACACCAGAGACTTCCAAAATCAGATTATTGACTGCACCTGCCTGGCAAGTGCAAGGTCCTGAGTTTGATCCCCAGTACCACCAAAAAAAAAAAAAAAAAAAAAAAAAAAAAAAAAAGAAATCACACAAGAAACTGGAAATAAGCAAAGGGAAAATGCTAAAACCAGTGCTATGATGCTAAAATGAAGTCGAAGCTATCTTCAAAAACCAAAAAAAAAAAAAAAAAAAAAAAAAAAAAAAAAAAAATTGACAACTACTTCGCAAACCTGTATGCCAATAAAATGGAGAATTCAGAAGAAATGGATAGATTCCTAGATACATATGAATTACCAAAATTGAAAATAACACTAAAGTTGAAGCAGTAATTAAAAAACCTACCAACTAAAGAAGAGCCCAGGTTCACATATATTCTACAAAAACTTCAGGGAAGATCTAACACCAGTATTGAAATGGAAAGGGAAGAAGACTGAAGCTACCATTACCCTGATTCCAAAACCAGACAAGAATCCAATTGAAAAAGAGAACTGTTGACACATTTTTTTTTCAGTACCAGGTATTGAACTCAGGACCCTGTACTTGCTAGACAGGCACAGTGCCATTGAGCTACATTCCCAGCCTTTGACCAGACTTTTAAATGAATACAGATGCAAAAATCTTCAACAATATAGTGCCAAAAGGAATGCAATGAACCATCAAAAAGAGCATACATCATGACCAAGTAGGCTTCATCCCTGGGATTCAAAGATATTTCAACATATTCAAATCAACAAATATAATGCATCACATAACACGCAAGGACAAAAATCACATGATTATTTCAAGAGACACAGAAAAAACATTTGACAAAATCAAACACCCTTTCATGATAAAAGCACCAAAAAAAAAAAAAGCATAGAAAGACCTTATCTCAATCTGATCAGTCATTTATGACAAATTTACTGCCAACATCATAGTAGATGAGGAAAAACTGAAAGCTTTCCCACTAAAATGAACAAGATAAGGATGTCCACTATCACCCCTCTTGTTCAACATAGTATTTAAAATATTAGCAAAGCAATTAGGCAAGAAAAAGAAATAAAGGAAATATGTATAGGAACAGAAGAAATAAAATTATCATTAATTGCAAATGATATGATACTTTACATAGAAGACCCAAAAAATTAACCAAAAACTCAATTAATAAACAGATTAAGTAATGTAGGAAGGTACAAATCAACACACAAAAATCAATAGCATTCCTGTACACAGATGGTGAACCCACTGAGAAAGAAATTAGGAAAAAATGCTATTCATAGTGCCAAGAAAAATTAAATACTTAGGAATTAACCAAACCTAAAAAGACCTCCACAACAAAAACTACAATACTCTGAAAAAAGAAAATCAAAGAGAATATAAGAAACTAAAGATATCGCCTGTTCTGAATAGGCAGAACCAGTATAGTCAAAATGGCCTTACTTCCAAAATCGATACACAGATTTATTGTAATCTTAATAAAAATATCAACAGCATTGTCCACAGAACTGAAGAAAATAATCCTAAAATTCATAGGGAACCAGAAGAGACTCAGATTACCCCAAGAAATCATGGGTAACCACAGAAAAGCTGAAGGCATGACAATCCCAGGCTTGAGGCTCTATTACAAAGCTATTGTGATAAAAGGCATCATGGCGCTGGCACAAAAAGTAGACAAGGATCAATGGCAGAGAATAGAGAAGGCAGAAATAACCCCACACACATTAAACTATTTGAATTTTGACAAAGGGGCTAAAAACATACACTGGAGGAATGAGAGACCCTTAAATAAATGGTGTTGAGGAAACTGGCATCTGCATGCAGAAGACTGAATCTAGACCCATCTCTCTCACCATATACTAAACAAATCAAAATGATCAAAAGAACTAAATGTGAAAAAAGAATCACTTGACCTGCTGGAAAACAAGTAAAACTTGTGAAGTCATAGGCATAGGCAAGGCAAGGACTTTCTGGACAGAATGCCACTGTATAGGAAATAGCACTGATAATCAACAAATGGGATTATATTAAATTTAAAAGCTTCTGTACAGCAAAAGAATTAAACAGCAGAATGAAATGACAAAAATTTTGCCAGCTATTCCTCAGAGAACAAAAAGATCCCCCATGGGCAGCTGAAATGAATAGACCCTTCACAGGAGAAGTACAAATGGGCAATAAATACATGAAGACACACTCAGCATCTCTGACCATTAGAGAAATGCAAATTAAAACAACACTGAAATTCCCTTTTACCTCAGAAAGAATGGCCATTGTCAAGAAGTCAAATGATAACAAATGCTAGTGAGGCTGCAGGGAAAAGGGAACTCTTCTACAGTGTTGGTGGGAATGGAAACTAGTACAACCTACTATGGGAATTGATGTGCTGATTCCCCAAAACACTAATACTAGAAATTCCACTGTAATCAACCATTCCCCTTCTAGATAACTTCCTGAAAGAGTTAAAGTCATGTTACAGTGATATATACACACTCATATTTATAGCAGCACAGTTTCTAATAGCTAAATCTTGGAAGCAGCCTTTTTGTCCATCAGCAGATGAATGGATAAAGAAAATGTGGTATTGGCATATAATGGAGCATTACTCTGCCATAAAAAATAAATGAGTCTTTTGTAAGAAAATGGCTGCACCTTCAGACCATAATTAGTGAAATAAATTAGACATACAAGCTTAACTATTGCATGGTTTCTCTTATATGAGACCCCTCCTAATAAAGAGTAAAATAATAGATAATAGGAGATAGGTACATAGATCGATCTCAAATGGGAAGGGGATCAAGAAATGGAGGGAGGGTAGAGTGGAGATGAAAAAGGAGTTAAGATATCTTATGTATAGGTGTCAGCTCCACACAAGGAGAGTAAAAAAATCCTCAAAAGTCTCAAGTTCAGAGGTAGGGCCTAATCAGAAGGTGCAGGTCACTGGGGCATTATGTGTATTCTTGTCCCTGACTACTCCCTATTCTCTGGGCTTTTTGACCTCCATGAGGTGAGCAGTTTTACCCATCAGGCCCTCCCACCAGGCTGCTTCTGCTGTGGAGCCAGCCGACCATGGACTGAACCCACTGAAACCATGAGCCAAATAAACCCCTCCTCCTTGAAGCTGAGGGTGCCAGGTATTTTGTCCCAGCCATGGGGAGGTGATTAATACAGAAAATATGTATCAATAAATAATGTATCACATTAATATATAAAAGGCCAAAAACCATATAATCCTTGCAGTTGGAGAAAAAGACACTTGACAAAGTTACACATCCCTTTACCATTAAAAAAAAAAACACCCCACTAATCAAATGGGTGTTGCAAACCCTATAGTAAGACCCAATATGAGAGGTCCCCAGCCAACAGGATACTCAGTGGTGGCAGCTCACGGGCTTGGTGCAAGACTGATGCCTGCACTTGCACGGGTGTTGAACATACTCCTGAGAGTCCCCACCAGAGCATTTTGCCAAGAGAAAAAGGCATCCACATCAGAAAGGGAGAAGTTGCATCATCCCTGTTTGCTGATGACAGATCCCCCCCCCAAAAAAAATCTGATAAATGGATTC